GTTTATAAGCAAATTTTTTGGAAATTAAAGAAAGCTTGATTTAAATATATATATATATATATATATATAAACAAGTTTTGAAAAAAAAAAAAAAAACCCATATTCTTATTTTGGTTCAGTCATTCAAATTTCCCGACTGATGGTTAAGAGATTTGAGTAAAATTAAGGACCATGCGAATTGTTGTATTGTTCTCAACTTGTTTATTGTAAACAGGGGACGACCTGTTGCTCCTTGCTGCACACCACTTTATATGGTCTGCTTCTTTATTTCCATTTTTGGAATGAGCTAGCTTCGTTGGTAAGGGTGTCTCTGGATTAAAAATAAGCTTGTACTCGATATGGATGGGGTGGGGTAGCCTCGACCATAGGATTCATATTGCACTGCATATTGAAATTTAAAAATCATCCTCCTAAGTGGCCCGTAAAAGAGAGCATTGCACCCGATTCAACACTTTCAAAATGTGAAATGCTCTCAAATATATATCATCTTTTCTGCTCAAGGCATTTGATTCAAGTATCATATTTATTATATTCCGATGGTTGAAATTCATTAGCGGTCCAATTACTTTTAAGAAATTGGGGAAGAGAATCATTTTTCAAGTTTATAAAAGTTAGCTATATATCTAGGTAATAAATAACAAAAGAATGATGTTTTTCTGCAATCTAGCATGAACATAATTGCAACATCATGATTGTTAAACTAGTAAAATTTAGATTTATATTAGATTTTATAGTCATTTAAAAACATAATCTAAATTTTATAGTTTCTATATATACAGGCAAAATTGGAAAAACTATTCTTAAAATGTATATTATTGCTTTCAATTTTATCAAAATTTTGCAAAGACTAAGCAAGAACAATGAGACACGTTTATCTGTCATCCATAGCTAGCCAGCTAGAGAGCCCACCACACCACTCCCTTAAAGTGTATGTGGGGCTGTATTGTCATCCTACATAGTTTCTTTTAGGTTCAGACCAAGTGGGAAGCGGTGGTCTGCAAAGGAATGGCATCAGAATTCAACTACTTTATTATATCTTTTGGTGGCATAAAAACAGGGATAATAAAGCAGATTGTGAATGCTTTAACAAAGAGCAACAAAGCTACATTGCCCATATCATGATGATGTGCCTCCGGTAAAGGTTAAAAATCCACCGATAGCCATATATACTCACTTTTTCGTCCGTCCTTGACAGCTACCAACTTCATCATCTCATTGCTAACGTGTTTATATGCCCAAATATCAAACTGAAAAAAAAAAAAGAAAAAAGAAAAAGGTATTTTATAATCTGTACAATATAAACTATACATAATTAGTTATTTACTACAATATCAATCTTATGTGTTGTAAACATGTGTTGTAAACATGTGTTGATCTAGATGATCTAAAAGAACAATCGAGTAAAATTCCCTTCAATAATTAAAACACTACTAAATACTAATTAGTAAAACATATTGATTATCGGCTACTAGTGGTCCATGTGTACGCCTCCAAGATAATATATGAAAACTTTATACTCACACAAATTGAGATGTTATTTGATTTCGAAGGCAGAGCTAGGGGAATAGATCATGATGGCGGTCCCGAGGCAACTCAAGAGTTTGGCTTTGACGTACAATTGCCACGTTTCCTGCCCCATTCCTCGGTGCCGCATCTATCCAAAGATTTTATTCCTGCAAAAGAAAATTACCCATTTTCCAATCATTTTGTACCTTCTTGATTTTTTTCAAGATATAATAATTAATATATATTTGAATTTAATATATTATATAATATATTTATTAAAAATTATTATTTGTTAATTTAAAAATAAAAAATATATAATTATGTGTATAAATTATAAAAATAAATAAATTAATTATATTTATATTATATTTTAATAATTAAATTAAAATAAATATCATAAAATATGTTAAATCACTGTGTATCTGCCATTTTTCTTTTTCAAAAGCAAAGCGAGATCCCACTTCCCTAAATGTGCCACCCATTTGCTAACCAAATTGAGGAAGGAGTTTTGTGTCTGTTTGTTTGCCCATTTGTATTAATTTTTATAGAAGCTCTATTTTGTTTGAGAACGTTTCTCATAGAAATATTGAATTCTATGATTTTATATAAGGTAATATTTGAAATTTTCATTTATTTATGTAGTCTAACTTCAACTTTTATGATAAAAAATATTTTTAAAGATAGGTCAAACAAATATTAGAATAAATACGGTGATCTCTTAGAACCAGAGTATAGCTGGCACTTTGGCCACTTTTCCGCCCTTTTTGAATTTTGGCAATGCGCTGAGAATATGATCAGCATTAAATCACATCTTTGTTGATTTTTCAATTCTGCTCCATCTATAAATAGATAGAAACTAAGGTGCATTATGCATCGAAACATCATTAGCTTTTTAGGGCTTGCACGAAGAGGTAGGGAGGGTTATGCAGCCAAGGATGACTTGCCGCGAGGCAGCAGTGGGCGACTGGCACGCCCCACATCTGCCTATTCAGTTTCCTTCCGGCAAGTCACTCCTTGGCTACATTGCGTTCTCTTCTTCTCATGTGAGCCCCTAATGGCATCGGCGGGAACGTAATCCTACCGGTCTCGAGTCTGACTTGCCTAGAGGTAGTAGAGAATCGAGTAAAGCCAAGGATGACCTACCGACATAAACAAAATTAATTGGAGGCATATGGTTTTCTCCATCAATGGTGTATTAATGTTCATCCTCGGTGAGTTGTCTTTTGCTACGTACGTTTTCATTTTCTTCTTCTCATGCAGGTCCTAATGCGACATGGAGGGAGTAAAACCCAAGTAGAATCAAGTTTAAACCGTTTCCAACTGCCCGAGGAAATGGTCATATATATATGGTACCTCACAATATATGAAGAATAATTACATGATGATCTAATACAAGCCAGACATTTTTTTTTTCTAATCTAAATGCATATATAGGTTTTTACATGTAAATAGAGAAATGGTGAGCATAAATTTAAGAAAAATCATCAGCGAACTCAATTATAATTATGGTAAAGAAGCCAACAAAATCATAATTAGTCCTTTATTAAGATAAAATAAGTAAATATATATCAATTCATATCACATGTTCTCAAAATAGGTAATTATGGATAGTTGAAAAACCATAGACTGAATCATTTTTCTTTCTTACTTTAGCTGTAGAGAATAAGACGTGTGGATATCATTCCCTTAATTAAAAACGTGGATATAATATTAGTTCTGTCGGCAGCCCACAGACCTGTGCTCAGGGTTTTGGTTTTCTTTAGGCGTTTCCCTAGCTCCTCCTTTTATTCTTCTGCTTCTTGTTCTTTTAAAAGGATTGAGGCGTTTCCTTAATTACTTTGTATTAATATCAGTATTGTGATTAATTATCTCCTTTTATTATTTGAAGGTTAGAGGGACACGAGGTATTCATGGAAATACAAATAACTGATTTTGTAAATGGAGAGAATTTTGAACCACAGCTCCATAACCATTCTCTTTATTTTGTTTTATGTTTGGAATGTTAAGTCTAAAGTTAATTAGCACGCACATTAAGAATAATGTCTTTTCAAATGATTTATACACTACTTCTCTATCGATTTAGTACATATAAAGAAATTAAACTTTTCTAGTTGTTATCAATACTCAAACTTGAATTTAAAGCATATGGGTATATGTTGATAATTTAAAGTATAAATATACTAGCGACTTCAGTGACCCAATGCTATTTTCCTTTTAATAAAAGTAAAAGATTTTAAGTTTAAACCGTATGTATGAGATAACATGAATTAAGAGATAAGATAACCTTATATATTTTTCATGTGCAATTCAAAGCAAATAAAAAGGCATAAACATTACAAACAAAATTTATCAAAAAAGACATATTACCCAAATTGTCTTATTTCAACTTCATTTATTACTTAATATAGACCATTAGTACTAATTAGAATATATATATATTTATCTTGGATTATACAGTATTTAAAAAGCAACTCTTTCTCATCTCTTAACTCATCCTACCTGTATACTATGTAATTTAAATTTAAAATCTCTTACCTTTACATGATGAATATATTTTATTGATTTATTTACATCGTTGACACTAATTAAAATATTAACCATGTGTAAGATATGAATATGGTAAAATATAATCTCTAGTTTTTTCTAAAAAAAAAAAATTCATACCATTAACATGATTAGCTCTTTTTTTACCAAAAAAAAAAAAATATATATTGGGTTGCAGGATAAGTAATAACATTTTGCATCTTTTAAACTCTCTTATTTGTATATCATGTAACTCAAAATTTTTTTTATTTTCATTAAAAAGAAATTATCATTGAATTATTTAAGTTATTAATGATTGACCTCTTAAATTATCACCAAACAAATTATAATTCTATTTCATGGACTGATTTCCTTCCTAATAGTTTCCCAAAAACTGAACATGATCTTGTAACTCAATGGATAATTAGATGCATATGTAACATGTTTTTGATCTTTAAGTTCAAAATCCTTCACTCTCACATTAAAAAAAAAAAAAACCCTTTCATTCTCAAGAATAATATATATGTATGTATATATATATATACCTTTACTCTCAAATGAAGAAGAAGACGGAGAAGAAGAAGAAAAGAAAGAAAAACTAATCTTGGAATATTTTGGGCTAAATTGGACCCTGTCTCTCATGCACATTGCACAATAGGAAGGCTTTTAGAGGGCTCAGGCTCTTCACATACTTCGCCTTCTTTTCTTTTGGGCCGTCCACCTGTCCATTCTTCACCTAACATTCCCTTATAGTCTTATGGTATTTATTTATTCAAATACAACCTCAGGAGTCATGCACATGGTTCAAGCTTCCTTTTTCTTTCCTTTTTTTTTTTAATCAACTCTGATCTATAATTCAATAATTCAAGAATTTCTTTTTCTTTAAATAGTTTATTTAAGAATTTTTGTTTATTTTTAACCATAAAAAATATATTATTCAATTAAAAAAAAGTCTTTTTTTAAAGTTATACTCTTATATTTTTTAAGGATATATTTAAAAACTTATTTTTAAATTTATATTTTTAAAAATAATTAAATCAAAAATTTTATTTATATAAATTACGTACGGTAAAATTTTCATATTAAGTTAATAGGTATAACCATTTCATTATTATAAAAAATTTAATATTATTAAATATACATCAATAAATAAAATTACTTTCATAACATAATTGTAAGTGTTAGGATAATATAAAAATTAATATATATAATTTGTATAAATAAAATTTTTAATTTAACAATTAAAATTTAAAAATATTAATTAAAAAATAATTTTTGAAACAAATTCTTTAAAAAAAATATTTCTACCCTTAACCACCCTATTCAATTAATTAATTAAAGGTATAATTAATTTTTGGTAAACCTAGCAATTAGGAGGCCTAACACGGTACGGAAATGAGAAAACCGTCTTGTTAGTTGGTCCTTAAAATCTCTCACCTACTCCCCTCCATTACCAGCACCGCTCACGCACAGTGACACCCAGTCTTTACGCCACTCATCTCATTTACTGCCACGTGTTACCATTTATCGGTTCTCACGATCTACACGTGTTCCTGGTCCACCAACTCTTCTTCATCCTAACAGGCCACAGGGTCAAATTCAAAGCAAAAATATCTCCAGAAAAGTCCTCAATTTCTTATTACTAGAGACTAAGCCCCTATAAATTTTTAGTGGTAAATCAATCACTCAAGGTGATAACCAATGAGCAGCATGTAATTTATAGTTTTTTTTTTTTTTAAAGTTGTATAATGAGATGTAATTTTTTTTATTTTTTAATTTACTTAAACTATATGATATGTGATTTGAATTTTAAAACTTTAATTTTCATTAAAAGAAGATTATTATTAAACTATTTAAACCATCAATGCATTTGATTTATAGTTTTACTATATGTCTTATGTGACAAATAAATTGAATAATTAGTATTATTATAAATTTGTCGTTCATCTTTAGTTGTTACACTTTTGTGTGACACATTAAAAGAAAAATTATAAAAAAGTTAAAAATACAATAATTAGTTTTTTCACATTTTATTTGTGTCATTTCTTTTTATAATAACAATTTATTAAAGACATTTAATAAGGATAAATTTAATATGCTTTTCAAAAAAAAAAGAAGACATTTAATAAGGATAAATTTTTTTTAAAAACATTTAATGTCTTTACTAGAGTAAAAAAATGTGACACTAAGGCCCTGTTTAATATAACGGTTTTGGGATAGCGGTTAGTGGTTTTACCTAAACCGTTAAATATAGGTGTTTGGTAAATTTATATATTTCAAAACTGCTACATATAAAGTGTTTGGTAAAATTTTTATTTAGCGGTTTAAGATTAGCGGATAGCGGTTAGAGATTAGCGGATAGCAGTTAGAGATTAGCGGATAGCGGTTAGGGTCCAAACAGTTAGCGAATTGAAAAAAATTAGTTTATATGGCTTTTTGTACCAAACTGCTAGCAAATTAAAATTTTTTAATTTTATTAACAAATTCATCCATTTTAATTTTTTAATTTGTGGTCACATTTTTTAATTAATAATTATCTAATAAATTTCAATTTTATTTTTTTACCTTTAATAACATTAAGTGATTATAATATTTTTTTGTACATTAATTTATAATTAAAAAATATATTATCTTAAAAAACAAAATTTGTTAATTAGACAAAATAATTAATTTTTTATTTAAAAATAATATAATTTTTTCTTTTTTGAAAATAAAAATGAAGGTGTAATTATATTATTATAATTAATTTTATTTATTATTTTTTTATAAAATCAATAATTTTAATAATAAAAAATAAAAATATTTTAAAAAATATACTTATTTATTTTTAAACATATCCTTATTAGTCATTTAATGTTAAACAACAACCGTTAACTATTGTATAGCCAAACAGTTATATTTATCGAATCCGCTATTTATCATCCGCTATCTACTTTCCGCTATCCGTCATCTGCTATCCACTAACTGCCATCCGTTATCCACTAACCGCCATCCGCTGTCTGCTACTGCTACCACTATCCGCTACCCACTACCGCTATCCGCTACCTACCATCCATTATCCACTAAATTTTAACCGCTATACCAATCAGACCCTAAATATAAACATCCTTTCATAATAAGTCTAACAACTAAAAAATAGAACGAGATAATATATAATTATATATTTTTTATTTAAAAAAAATAAATTTTACACTTTATAATATTATATATTGTAAAACAAGAATCTTTTGCTTTGTTAACAAAATTTTTTATATAAAACAACTATCATATCAATAAAAAGATTCACAACACGTAAGATGAACGGTGACGTCCACAAGGATGCATCATTCATATCAATAAAAGGCTTCACATCATCCTAAAGTGAATACTGACGTTCACAATGATGCATCACATTAGATTTCTCAACAAAATTTAGGCGAAAATCTTGGCAGTTGAGGAGTTCATTTGCTAAAAGAGAAACTATAAAGTTTAGTTGCCAATAGCAACTAAGTTTGAGGGCTGACTTAAAGATTTTCCGAAATCCCAAAAAATGGAAAAAAGATCTGGATTCAAGCTAAGTATTTGTGAAAAATTAATTGCCACGTTTCTCTGTAAAAGAAGAAAAAAAAATACCAACATATAACATCCATCCTCTGCATAAAAAGAAAAAATTACATATATTTATATATATAAGACATCCATACCTACTTCGGTTTCTTGGTTTCTTCTGGCGAGTTTTAGTGGCTGTTTCAGAGTAGATGGCGGCAGCAAAGCTCGTTCTTCTTCTACTCTTTATTGCCTTGGTTTTCACGCAGGTGGCCGCTGATATTCCGTTCGACGAAGACGATGCGTCGGCGCAACCAGTCGTCGAATCCGCCGGCGCCGATGCGTCTGCTCTCAAGTCTAAGATCCACGCTCTTGGTTAGCTTTTTGATTATCTTCTTGTTACGCTATTGTTTTTAAACTTATGCTGAGAGAAATTAAAGAACGTGAACTATAGATTTCGAAACATTGATTTTTTTGGCTGCGGAGATGTTGAATCTTGAAGTTAGGCTGCTGACACGTTGAATTTTGAAGTTATTGGTTTCTACTCTTAACTAACTGTCATGTGAGAATTGAAGTGGCAGTAGTAATTTTGTGAATAAACTATGTGATGATTGATTTTGAACATTTTTTGGATGATGATTCTATGCAATGAAGAATCCGAGCTAGATGCGAAAACTGAAGAGTTGAGCAGGAAAAATGAGGCGATTGCGCAGAAAGAGAAAATCATTAGAGAGAAGTCTGAAATCATTACGTCTTTGCAAACTGAATTGTCATCTATTCAGGTGCGCAAAATCTAATTATAAAAAGGAGTTACGTGTATGTATCTTTACTAAGAAAGAAAGTTGCTTATCTTTGTTATTGATACTTTGTCCTTTCTCAGAAAAAAGGCAAATTAGATGCTCAGGAACAGGTGGGAAAGGCTCACACACGAGCTGTTGAATTGGAGAAGCAGGTAGTCATTGAGAAAGGAAGTTTCTGGTTTGAGAAGAGGAGTGCATTATGTTGATGTTTTTTCTCTTTCTATAGGTTGTTGAACTTAAAGGTGAATTGGAAGCAAAACAAAAGGAGAAAGAAGCATCGGAAGCTCGGGCAAATGAATCTGAGAAGAAGTTGATTGAATTGAATTTGAAGCATGAAAATGTATGTGTCATATCTTTTCCCTTTTCCCTTGTTACGTCACAAATCAGAATGATGTGGAGGCATAACATTGTTGTTGCTATATATATGTTCTCTTTGAGATGCTATTTCTTTCTTGGACAAAGTGGTAGTAGAAGAGGTTTGTTTAGGGGTGCATCAAATTTCTAGTACTTGAAGAATCTTTCCTATTATTACTGTTATTCTTTCTTGAGTGTCGTGTGCTTTTTTGGGCTTTACAATGCTTGAATAATTTCTCTTTACAGTTGTTTATGCTTGAATGCCAATATGATGAATTTGAATTTTTCAATGAGTGTGCTTTGGTGGTTGTATGAGAGAAGTTTCTTTCCCATAGGGTGAAAGTAACACATTGAGTTAGTGGTTGATTATTTTTATCAACGTCGCTAGTAGGAAAAGAAGAAAAGTGCTGAATCAAATTCTCTTTGAGTAAATTTGTCATCCATGGTCATGTCTTACTGGCAAATATTCAGTTAAAATTAGAGGAGTGAGTATTGCCACATTGTTCTTTTTTGATAATATGTAGTTCTGATGCTGTGTCTTTGTGTTTTGGATATATTTCCTGTTGGAGTTAATTTATATAACCATCTCTTTGAGTAAATTTGTCATCCATGGTCAGGTCTTGCTGCCAAATATTCGGTTAAAATTAGAGGACTGAGTTTTGCCACATTGTTCTTTTTTGATAATATGTAGTTCTGATGCTGTGTCCTTGTGCTTTGGATATTTTTTCCTGTTGGAGTTAATTTATATAACCATGATAGAAAATGACCATGTTTTTCAGCTTCAAAAAATCAGTGATGAACAGAAGAGTAAAATACGTAAAACTGAACGAGCTCTCAAAGTTGCTGAGGTACATTAATTGACTAGCTAGATGCTTTATTATGGTTTATGTTGGACTCATTAGCAGTTTTAACCCTCCATCCCCCCCTCTTTTTTTTTCCTAATAGGAAGAGATGATAAAGGCAAAGTATGAAGCCACTTCAAAAAATAAGGCTTTGATGGAGGTAATAAATACTGTTTATTATTTTCAGTATTAAATCCTCTCCTTTCCAGTAGAGAGTGCAGCCCAAGTCCACCTTCTCTCCCCTTTTTTGACAGATTATACATTTACCCATGAAGTTTGAGTAAACTGGACTCTCAATTGGACTGTAGAGGAGTCAAAACCCAATGATACACATTTCTGAGTTCTGACTGGTATTTCTTTCATGGTTGATAATCAGAACAAGTTTGGATTAAATTAATCAAGATTCTTCTCTCTTTGATGCTTAAATGGTTTATCTGTTCTGACAAGAGAGTACCCAGAAACTGATAACTTCTTGTGTGACTTCAGGATTTTAAAGTTTATATACTGTGTTGCTCTGGGCTTCACATGTCCTTGAAAATATTTTGGAGATTTTCTTAGCAATTAACATTTTTGAATACATGCATTCTGCAACACCCTAAAATTGCAAACAGAATTTTCACCAGAAAGTTACTGTTATGCATTTGTTCAACAACCTGTGTGATCTATGAAAAGTTTCTGTATCCAATCAGAGCTAGTGTTATATAGATTATGAAGAGCTGATATTTTAGCTAGAATTGAAAAAATTTATTAAAGCCCATTTATTATATCTATGAAGAAATAAATGGTCAGGATTAGGAAAATATGGATATGGTCCATATGGAATGGGTAGCAGAGAATTCCACTTTTCTGTTTGTGTTTCAGATGGCCTTTTAAAATTTCACATTGGCTGCAGTATCCATTATGCTTCATTCAAAAAAAAAAAAGAAAAAAAAGAAAAAAAGAAGAAGGTGCTCTAAGTGTCATTCATGTTTGTGATCAGGTGCATGGTGCATGGCTTCCCCCTTGGCTTGCTGAACACTTGGTCCATTGCCAGGTAAATTTAGGGAAGGGTGATATATGTTGTATTACACATTGCAAATTCTCAGCTTGATTCTGAGGTACAATCTTCATGCAGGAGTTCATTGAGACCCATTGGAATGTGCATGGAAAACCTGCCATGGATATAGCAATAAAGAAGGTATATTTTTTTGGTTAACATATAATTATCTGTTTGTTACTTGTTGGAAACTGTCAATCATTGTTAAGAGATGATACTTTGTTTTAAATTCTTTACCTAGTTGGCCTATCATCATTGAGAACTGTATGCTATTATTGTTACTAAACATGTTCAAATTTGATCCAGGCCCTTGAGAAAAAGGTCCAGGTTAAAAAGTGGGCTGAACCACATCTGGAGACTGTAAAAACTGTAAGCTATTATGAACCAATATTTCTGAATCAGGGACCTTGTACATGTTACTATTTTGGTCGCATGAGTATTTTTCTTATTCAATGACCATACTTATTGTTCTTTCAATGTCACTGATAGAAATGGGCTCCAGCTATGAAGGAGCAGTGGTTGGTTGTGAGAACACGAGTTAAACCACATGTGCAATCACTAACTGCCAAAACAGTTGAAGTTTATGAGTTATCAAAAGCTACAGTGACTCCACATCTTGTCAGAATTCAAGAAATAGTTGATCCTTACTTCCAGGTCTGTGCTTTATTATATTACATCATCCCATTTTATCTCATATGTTACTCCTTGATTGGCATCCTGAAGCTTATCTTACATGCTCATAGGAAGCTAAGAAGTTAAGCAAGCCATATATTGATCAGATTGCAACTATTGCAAAACCTCATGTTGAAAAAGTACGAGTCGTGATAAAGCCTTATTCAAAGAAGGCAGTTCATGCTTATCGAAAGTTTCTGGAATCAGCGACGACTTACCACCATCAGGTACCAACATTTTCTTTGGTTTGCTTACCAAAAACCTCCAAAAGTAAAATTGTGTCATTTTTCATGTATTTTCCTTTATTTAGTAATTAATTTTTGATTCTCTGTACTCTCATTGTGGCCTCTCTTTGCTTTATATTGTGCAAATAAAGTATTTGTTTATTAGACTCCATGGAGGTGGTCATCAAAGTGCATAGAACCACTCTACTCTTCCTTCCTTAAAGGGCTATGATGATGAGGAATGCTTCAGCCTCAAAGCAATGAAAAGTCTATTTCTAATTGTTTTGTAGACTGCATTGGGCCCAAGATTTATTAGTTCTGGAAAGTAAAATTATGCAGGTTATACTATCTTGCAGTTAATTCTTTGTCCTGAGCAACTTAATCACAAGGATGAAAGATTTGTATTTTTAGTTTTGTGTATATTTATTTGAGATGGGAAGAATTTACATGATGATATTTGTATTTATTATGGTTAACATATTTGGATTATATTAATTTCTGTGATTGTTAAGCAATGTGATGAAATTGGTATCTTTTAAGGAAAACTTCTCAAAATATACATAATTTCAGATAACTTTGTTCCTTTAATCTTGCAACCCTGGTCAACAATGTGAGAATTTGGAATCTTTGAATTGATGTTTTCAGGTTATTGCATCCCTTGTGTACTACCGTGTTGCATATATCATAATTAATTGAATTACTTTCCACTGTTCTATAAATAGGTTCAAGCCACTGTTCGAGAAACATTGAAGCGGCATGAACTGACAGAACCTCTTGCAACTAGAGAGCTGGAGTGGTTTGCGGTATCTATATACTAGTTGCAAACTGTGTTCCACTCAATTAAACAATTAATTAGCTTGTTACTTGATATTAACAGCATAACTTATAATTTACTCCTTGCAGGCCTCTGCTTTGTTGGCCTTACCTATCATTATTGTGTTTAGAATTTCATCAGCTATTTTCTGGTTAGTTTCACAATCATAAATCCTATTTACCAGTGAATTTTTCTGTCATTACTAAAAAAAAAGTGCTGTTTCTTTACCCTGGGGTAAAACCCTCTCCTTCCTTCAGAAGGAACAAATAATCTCCTTATGCTAACTAAGATTTACTTATCCCTATTGCTGCAGCAAGAAGGCAAAAAAACCTGCTCGACATGCTCATAGCCACCATACTCGTAGAAAGGCAAAACGGGGACATCCAGACCAATAGATTACCATCAATTCTCTAACACTAGTGGAATATTGGAGGTATATTTCTATTGTTGTATCAACCATATCAATTCTGTTCAAGCAATAGACATTCAGGACATCTTGGAAATCTATTTGGTGAGCTGGGAGGATGAAACTGTTGTAGTGACTTGATTTAGCCATAAAAGAGAACAGAGAAAGGTGTTTTGAAATGCATGAGAATGAACTTGATTCTGATGAGTGATGAATTTAAATTGGTTGCTACAAGGAATAATAATTGAGTAGGTGGTGAGCTATATGTTACTCTATTCCCTTTGACCTAATGGTTTAAACCCATACATACCTGCTCAGCCATACTTTGAGTAACTATTAGGTTCAGTAAAGATCAATGGGTAAAGGTAAAAGACTTAGGATAAACCACTCTACTTTCTTAGCAGATAACCCTAATTTAGGTTTAATGGTACATCCAATAGTGGATGGCCGTACTTGTTCAACTCATCTTTTTCAACTTGTATACATAGAGAGCCGTATAGCCTTAATGGTATCTTGCTGTAATGCATTCTCCTTGGCAGCGTGGAAATTCTCTGGCACCGTACCCCGAGTTTATGGTTACACTTTGAAGGCAAATGAAGCCGGTTGATTTGTTTGTATCTTTTTGCAGGGTTGGATGCTTATCTTCATGGGCTATATATTATTCAAGTCTTCAACCTTAAAGATCTGCCAAGGAGCTTTGATGATGCCGTTTTCTGAAGCCAGTGAATCCCATTTCCTTTTACGATCATGGAAATGTTTAGAGCCCATTCTACACGGTTAGACATTCTTAGAAATGTAGGAATTCACGTACCGACACTGTGTGAATTAATGTTGTCACTGTAATTTAATTATTATTATTATTATTTTTTTCGGTGGAAATATGGAAATATATATAACAAAACACAGATACAGTCAGGTCCGGGGAAAGTCTATTCCCCTTACATCAGCGTCCAAATACAAATCAAGGCCCTGCAGGCAATTAACAAAACAAACAAACCCCGTAACAGTATGGCCTATAGCAGCTAAATGATCAGCACACTGATTAGCCTCTCTAAATATATGACGAAGAGAACGTGAGGGATTTGAGCCATCAGTTCCTTACATTCCAAAATCATGGTATGAAATGGATGATTAACAGAATCATAATTAGAAAGTAACTTAAAGACAATCAGGGAGTCCATCTCCACAATAATGTTTTGAATACCCCAGTTCTTTGCCATAATCAAGCCATCCCGAACACCCCAAAATTCAGCACCAAGAGCAGAGGTAATGCCTATATTTCTAGCAAAACCAACCACCAATTTACCCAATGAGTTCCTAATCAATCCACCACAAGCAGCAACCCCAGAAGTTCTAAATGAAGAGCCATCTGTGTTTAACTTGAAATAACCCTCAGGGGGTTTGTCCCATTTGATATTGTTGCAAACCAAGGAGCCATTAACAGTTGTAGGATAGGGAGAAGTGGAGATGAACTCCATTGCCCTTTCTTTAATTAAGATTTTTGCCCGGTTGGGGTCATAACTCTGTGGCCGATATATTTTCTCATTCCTCTGTAGCCAAATGATCCAGATGACAAAGGAGAAAAGAGTTCCCCATTGGACAGGAATTGAAGGACTAGGGGTAGTCTTAGAACAATTCATTTGGAGCCATAAAAAGAA